AAGGTAGCACTGGCTCCTGACGCCCATGTTCGCCAGGCATAGAGCCAACACTTGGAAGTTCCACAATCGCATCATAAGTCATTCTTCTAGTACCGAGGAAGTAGGGTACCACCACCAGAGTGTACCCCTTCATAACTAATGACACATGCGTGCAGAGCTGCTTGTTCAACTTCAGGTTGGGGCTTTCAAATGCCAAGCACAGGACTCAAGGACAAGATCTCCATGTTGGTGGCAGCAGAAAAAAACAGTAATTCAGACTTAAAGTGTCCCTACTGGGCAAAGTAGAACTAACCCTTTGGGTTTCTGAAATTGTAAATCTTTATAGAATCAGACAGCCCGGCTTTCCTCCTCAGAGAAGCTGGAGGGTTTGATCTGCTGACCAAATGCTAAACCCACGATGGCATCAGGGCTCTATATTTTTCTGGTATAGAAAAATTTGAAATTTGGGGAACAACAAAAGGAAGTGAAGAGTTAGCTATAAAGGGGAGATCAGCTTTCTATGCAATAATATAACATAGCTGAAATCACAGTGCACATTCAACATTGTGTCCTTTTTGTATTCTCATTTACCAAATCTAAACATCTTCTGATATCTGGGTTTTCTTCCCCATTTCTTTGGTACTATAAAGCTCCACGAACATCTTAAGAGCTGAATCTTTGATGTGCTATTTCAGGGAACATAGAGCATTCACAGCATGTGTATTGGAAGATTTGCTTCCATATAATCAATAACCCTAGTTATGTCTTCCTGGATAAAGATTAGCTTTGTGAACTTATTGTAACTTGAGATGATCAGATGAGGGATGATAGCAAGTACATTTGTATGAGTGCTGTAAAATGCTAATATGCCTATCTGTGCAATAATCACTTTTATTTTCTAAGTAGAAAAGAAATTAGCAGTGTGTACATTAGTCATAAGACTGGGCTCTCCAGTCTTTCTACACTGCTCAAACAGTGCCTTATTTTTTTTGGCAAGGGCTGATACTCATTTTTCTGTCAGGCTTTCTTTTGCACAAAATAAAATATCTGTTTTGTCAAACCAAGTAGAAGCACAGCATTTGGGCCATGAAAATAACACCATCTTAAAGGAAATACAAAGGACTTGGAACCAGGAACACGTAGGGCAAGTAGAATTGCTCCTTCGGGTTTCCTAGAATGTAAATCTTGATGGGCGCAGACAGGCCCCTCTTTCTTCCGTGGGGCAGGTGGTATGTTTGAATCACCCACTTTTGTTTAGCAGACCAACACTGAACACACTCTGCCACCAGGGTTCCTTTGTTAAAGGTTAGCAGGCAACAAACACATGCCATCTTGACACCAGTCACTAGTGCCTCTTCTTTTCACCTGATCGACCAGCAGCCACATCCCTCAGCCCAGAGACAGTGTGAGCTACTGCCTGGCATCGGATTGTGCTGTGGCTCCTGGTAACATCTGGAAACCCTCTCATTTAAAATTTGAAAACAAAATAGAGCAAGTATGGTATCTTTGGAAGAATATGGTGATGAAAAAAGGAACGCATTGGTAACATGGCTGATGCTAGTCAATTTAGAAAGCTTTGATTTTAAGCTATCATGAAGTGCAATATTATATACATAACAGTTCCATTTGACTTTAACCTTTTTTCTCAAGGTATAAATGGGACGCAGCTTAAATACGGTAGATTGGAAGAGAGCTGATGAGGAGAAAAACAACAGTATCACATATATTTGATTTTTTTTTTTTTTTTGAGAAACATTTCTGACCTGTCTTTCTTAGGTGGGCCTAATTTTCTTTCCAAACTAATAGATGACTTCTACTTTGAGAGCTCCATTTATGACTCCAGAAATGAGAAAGACTTGAAAAACAAGTAATCTTTTCTCCCGTCCAAACCAAAAAATGAACCTCAATGTAGACTCATAGCAATCCTACCAGACGAGGTAGCACTAGCCATGTGAATTTCCAAGACCGTAACTCGATGGGGGTAGAAAACCCTGTCTCCAGCAGAGTGGGCGGGCGTTTCCACTGCTGACCTTGCAGATTGTAGCCCCAAGGGATAACTACTGTGCCGCCAGGGCTCCTTCCGATCCAAGGGCCGAATATTAACAGTATAGACACACTTGATCGAGCCTCGGACCTCGGACTTTGAACTACAATGTGGTCTCTATGGGCTCAGGACTGAGGAAGTTTTGAGATGATCTTGTCAAATATTTATTAAGTAAGGGGCAGATTAAGGGCATGGCAGAATTGAACACATATAATTTTACTCCAGCTGAGAACCACTGATAAGACCTAGTTTTTTTTCTTTCTGATGGGAGAAACAAAGGGGTAAGGTCACCTTGTCAACTGAAGCAGAATAAGATTAGAACAAGATTGCTCTCCAAGAATTCCATCCACTACACCTTGGGCCCCTGTGGACAATTTCATCATGGAAGTAGCCTCCTTTACCAATGAGTGTGGCCAAGAATTTGTTATCTTCATCCCCGAGCCCTATCAGCTCCTGAGTGAATACAAAATACTTTAATCCTTGGTGTCTCTGATTCTAACATCTCTTGACCAGAACTTGGCCCTGGTCGATGGATTTACCAGAAAGACTGTGTGCAGGTAGGTTTCATCTGACGTGACAACTGCAGATGAATGAGAATGGCTACTTAATACCTTAAATTGAGAGAAATTGTAAATACCCACACAACTAAAAATGAACGACATCTGTATGAGGGGTCGCAGTGATCTGACTTGGGTCCACCCTTTGGCTCCAGTAAATCTTAAGGAGAGCAGAGTCTGACATTGAAATCTGACTCTAGGAAATTTCACTGAAGTCCCTCACTTAGGAGGGGTGGTTGATCAGTTCCAGAGTTGGCATAGGGAGTCCTGGGCCCCTTTCACAACTTGTATTCCCAAACCAACGTCACTGCCATGGAGTCAATCATGACTCGCATAGACCTCATAGGACAAGGTAGGACTGCCCCTGTGGGTTTCTGACTCGGTAACTCTTTCTGGGCACAATCTCATCTTTCTCCTGTGGAGTCACTAGTGGCTTCAAAGTACTGACTTGAAGCCCATCATGTGCACCACCAAGGCTCCTTCTAATTTGTCCTGGTCCCTCTATCAGACATAGTTGGTCTAGTTAGAGCTGGAAGCTCCTATTGCTCTAAGTAATTATATTACTTGTGTTACTTAAGCATACTTAAATGTTGTTTTAAGGAAATGTAGACATCATGTTTGATAACGCAGAGGGACAGTGACAAAAAAGGAAAGCCCTCAGAGACATGGATTGACGCTGTGGCTGCACCCATGGGCACGAGCAGAGGAACGATTTTTGAGGACAGTGCAGGACCAGGTTGTGCTTCATTCTGCTGTTCATAAGGTCGCTATGGGTTGGAACCTACTGGACAGCACCTAACAACAGTAACGACAGGCATACATTATCCCTGGTAACGGAGATGGTGATAAAAGAGGAAAAAGACAACCAAGGTTAGTTTAAAATTATACTTTCACTACTTTAGGAAGAACTTGGGGGAGTGAGTCCATTAAAATCTCTAGTTAACCCGGAGGACAATGGGATCCCAAAATCCATCTGCAGAGTATCTAGTGAGATTACGTCCCTGGGAGAGGCCCTCTGGCCACAGGTGAGGGAGCGCAACAGCTTTACTGACAGACCGAGATTATTGTAAACTTGATCATGGTGGATTGAACCACAGTATGATATGATACTTGGTCAGCTGACCTCCCTCTGGGCCCAAACTGAACTTGCTCTAGGCTTAAATATTTCTTGCTTGTTCAATGACAGAAATTTCACCTGTGGCTTTTAAAATATTGCTTGTGGTCTGTTCTTTCTTACTCTTGATTTTTATCTTTATATTATTTTCCCTTCTGTTTCTTTTTTTTTAAATTATTGTTTCTGTTAGGTTTCCCAGGTTATGAAGCACAGAAGGAGTGGATGCATAGAGACAACAACTGATGCAATGGGTTTATCTGGGACAGGGGCTGGAGAGGGGCATTGGGGAACAAATAATTAATGTGGGAGAGTGGAAGGAACACTAGAACGGATGGTAATGATGTATATACAACTCTTTTTAAAAGTGACTTAACTATGGAAGCATATAATATGTGAATTTTATATCAATAAAATGATCTAAACATAAAAGGCAATGGAAAAATGCTAAAGGTTGACATAACAATGGTTTTGTTCTATTTCATAATAAAAATGCTTTAAGTGTTCAAAAAAATCTCTAGTTAAAGAAGATGCAAGCATGTTGTTAGTTGCACTAGTTGTAACTTTTCAAGTGCCCATCAGCGATAGGATGAATAAACTGTAGCATAGTCGCACAGTAGAGTATTATCCAACAATGAGAATGAAGGAGCCACAACGGAATGCAGCCATAGAGATGCATCTCATAAGTGAAATGCTGAGGGAAAGAAGCCAGGCACAAGAGAATATATATTGATTGGTTCTATTTATATAAAGGCCCAAAACAGGCAAAACGTACGTATGGCTTAGATAACCGTGGGAAGAACAGCCGCCCTTGCAGAGGGAATGAGTAGACAGAGAGCGGGAAGGGCTGTGAGGGGGCCAGGGTGGCTCTGGCTCGTGTGGGTGCTGAACAGGACGCTGTGCTCAGTTAGAGAGAGCTGAACTGTACACTTACGCTGTAGGAAATTTTTGTATATATGTTTATATTGCAGGAACTTGTTTTTGATAAAAAAAGGTAAACAGACACTTTTCAAGAAGCAAGAAACTTATTTTGAATAAAAATACCCTCATTTTGATGCTAAGTTTGGAAACAGTTAAATTGGGGGAGGTTCAGCTCTTTAGTAAGGAGTACACAAGCTAACCTGGCCCGTAGATCTGGCAAGGAAGGGCCCACAACCCTCCAGCGGGGAGCCCCCACCACAGACTAGGCACTCCCCTTCCAGAAGGCTATGTGAGCTCAAGTTCAGGAGCAGGTCCATCTGGAGGTGCCCAAGCCTCCCATTCTATTCAGAGATGCACTTCCCGAAGCTGCCACAAGACGCTTAGTGAGTAACCGGCTCGCAGTTTTCATTTATTATCAAAATATTTCAATCAGATGACAAACCTGAAAAGAGAGGGAGATGTGGAGCTACACGGATGCAGCTTTGCCCTTTCATCACAGCCGCCCTCGTGATAGATGGGATTTTAAAGCCCCACTTGTAAAGATATAAAGAATTATATATCTCTAGACAACTGTCCAATGGCATTTTTTTTAACCCCAAGGTTTGAGCTTAAAGCTTTTCATCAATATGATTTATAAGTTTAAAAAGACTCAAATCTTCATCTGTACATCACTTTACAGATCTTGGTTCATAATTATGTATCTTGTAGTCAAGAACTCTACCTGAAGTGTCAATCTTCAATGATTACCTATAATAACAGTTACTTAGTCATACAGGTACTTAGTAATTAAATATAAAAATTATTATTTATACATTACTACAAATCTCTTAAAAAGACCAAGTTTTGAGAGAAAATGAGGAATCAATTCTTAGAAAATCACGGGGAGGAAGGAATCTTCAGATCAGCTAAACCAGGTACAAGACAACTTGCTTAGACATTCATTTTTGTCCTAAGAATGTTTAAAACAAAATGATCTGAGAATGAGTAATAATCATTGGGGGGGAAAAGGTTTAAAAGTACTTAAGCCCCAAGGCCCCAATATGTTTAAGACTTCTTTGGAAGGGTTTGAAGGAGCATAAACCTTGCAAATGAAAAGGACACAGCATTTTCAGCTATTGTGTCTCCACATCTTCTTTCTTTGATCAGCAGTGCCAGCCTACATCAACAAGTAGGGACACGGTTTCTAAATGAGAACATCAAATTGGTCAACCACATGAAAAACAGGAATAAATGGTAATGCCGTCTTTAGAAATTAAGCATTATTTACACAGCGAACGTGATTGATTCAATAGACAATAGTCTGCCTCTGCTCCCCACACCCTTATCAAAATAGCCTATCTTGACTTTTATTATGATTCTAAAGTAGTTATCATCTCTGAGGTTCCGTCTCATTAACTCCCCCCAGGTCACTGCAGTGTTCTCCAGGGTCCATCTTCTGGCACACAGAGGGCACCTCATTCAGGGCTGGGCTGCTGGCAAGCCTAATCAAGGGCTGCATGGCTTCTCTTTGGGATCACCAAACCCGGCATTTGTTTTCTGGGTTCATATATGACTTCTTAGGGCACTGAAAGGCTTCTGAAAACTCTGGGGAGTTCTGCAAAGTCCCAATAATCCTTCAAAACAAACACAAAAGGCACCATCAGCGTTTGCAATTCATACCACTTCAGAGCCCCGTAGAATTTCTTTACGCAGACCAAGGGAACAGATAGGGAATTTACAGCCTAAAAACGAAAACTAAACTTAAATAGTTGACATGATTATGTTCTTTTTCATCTGATCGAATTTATAGAAGGTAAAGTAGCAAAGTGTGGGTGTTAAGAGCACAGGTTCTGGAGACAGACTACACGGTTTAAATAACGGTTCGCAGTTGTATTCCAGCTCTACGACATGGCTCAGTTTCCTTATCTGCAAAATGCATGCAATCATTGTAATACCAGATTTCCAGAGGGGTTATTGTGTTTCAAACCCACTGTTGCTACCTTTGGGTGCTGTGGAGTCAATTCCACTCATGGTAACCAGGTGGGCAGAACGGAACTGCTCCATCCAGTTTTCAAGAAAAGTGACCTTTCAGAAGCAGACAGTCGCTCCTGCCTCCTGTGAGTTGCTCCAAGTGGGTTCACCCTTGTAGCAAACAGTAGTTGAGTACTAACTGTTTGAGCCACTCAGGAACTCCACTGTATCCCCGCTTTACAAATAGACAATGTATATGTGAAGTGGCAGTTATGAAGAGTTTGGTCAGAGAATAATGTAGCACTAGATATCTTGAAAGGGACTCGCGCAATAACAAATATAGTAGGCTAGAAATAAGTAATTGTTGATTGGATATTGCAAGGAAGACAGTGCATTTTTTTCCTCAAATGAACTTTTTAAGAGATTTCAAACTAGATTCAGCTTGAATAACTGGAAAGGACTGGCAAAATATCAATTTCTTCTTATCTCTGACCTCAGTGGGCAAAAAACGACACTGTCCAACACGCTATCGGCAGCAAACAGCTCTGCCAGGGAGAGGCCGGTCAGCACAATGATCGCGCTTTCCTTTCTTCCCAGCGACTGTCCTTCCATGCCCACCTTGGGCTGAGAGGAAGAGGTCTGAGTAAGAAAGACCTAAGGCTGATTCCCTTTCTACTCTTGTTTGGTGCATCTGCGGCAGGTGGGCTGCAGTTGTGGGAAGATTAAGTAAGACAAAAGTCAGTTCTGATGTACTGAACTCTGAAAAATGGCACAAGTACTACTGTGTTTAAACCATTGGCATTCACATTGCCAGAGTGGTTTTTAAAACTTAAAATCAACCCCAAACCAAATTCACTGCCATCAAGTCAATACTGATTCATAGTGCCTCTCCTGTGGGTTTCCAAGACTGCCACTGTTTACGGGTAGGGAAAGCCTGTCTTTCTCCTGCAGAGCTACTGGCGGTATTGAATTGCTGACCATACAGATCACAGCCCAACCTAATAGCTACTCTGTCACCAGGGCTTTTTTTTTTAAATCAGATAATATAATTTAACTGAAAACTTTTCAAATTCTCAACTTTGGTCTCCAGTGCCCCCATTGGCTCTGGCCAACATTTCCAGTCCCCTCATGATGCATTTTTTACCCCAATCTAACTAGGCTGGAACTACACTGACTTATGCTCCATTCCTCAAAGCCCACTTCCGGGTTTTCTGCTCATGCTGACCGCTCTCCTTGTAAAATTACTCCCCGTTGGTTATGTAGCTAATGCCTTCTGAGCCTTCAAGCCTCCACCCAACACCACCTCCTCGGATGCCTTCTGTGACTGCTGCACAAATTAAATCTCCCACCTGGACCATCTCTATTAAAGCATTTGTCACCACGTATAATTCTGTGTGTTCTTTTATGGTCCGCCACACTGACTGGACTGCAATCTCTCTGCAGACAGAGTAAGGGCAATGTGTGAGTTGCTTTCTGTGGGTCCCGCAATGCCTAGCCTAGCAGGGTGCTTTGTACTCTGCAGGACTCTGCATGGTGAATGAGACCTGGTCCTCATGACTACATGCCAAAGAGAATTAGGGCATTACAAAGAACGGTATTATTTCGCATTTTGGTTGCTAGGTGGTACTGTAGACCAACTAGGAGAGAAATAAAGCATTTCTTTATCCCTGTATGTCATTCTCAAAAGTTGGACTCCCTAATGCATCACCTGTCCCCACAACTCATTTGCCAGCTACCCCCACACCACCCTTCCCTATCTTTCAGGGATGATGCCAACTTTTTTGTTTTTTGGGGATTCTTAGGTTATTAAAAGGAATCTTCTGTGTGTGCATGTGTGTGTTAGTCTCCTCAATAGAAGTAAGTTTGCCCTCCCCAAGACTGGCAAGTTGTCTGCATTACAAGAACTTTCCTTCCGTGTCTGGGCAGGACTCTGGGAAGATCGCTGATAGACTGGTTCCCGGGACACCTGCACGTGAAGAGCTGCAGTGGGAAAGGGAGCCCCTGACTGTAGAGGAAAGGGGATTGCTCACACTGCAAGTATCTGCACAATGACCAATGAATCCAGTGTTGGAAAAACTACTGAAATTACATTTCTCATCTCTTGGCTTGAAGAGTGTGAGCTTAGAGCTCCGATTAATTTCATGAAAAAACAATGTGTCAATTCTTCCATCCAAATGCTGAAGAACAAATTTGCTTCTATCATCATACATGTATGAATTATGAACCAGGGATTTACACCTGTCCTTCAGGGTCTAAACTGGGGAAGATTTTGCCTTCATTTAATCCACTAGCTGTCGGACAGTGGCCATGCTGGCTGACAGTTCCTGCTCCTGGAAGGGCAAGCTCCAGAAATGACAGGGGAGACATTGTAGAGCTACTGATGGACATCGTCGCAATTTTCTTTTTCAAATTTTTTTCAAATGGAAGCATTTTAGGTAGTTATATGGGGACAAGTATACATATATATAACCCCCTGACTTAATTCTGTATTAGTTCTCTTGGAAACATTAAACCAAGTGAAATAAAAGAAAAGGAGCAGCTGAAGTCTTTCTAAAGCAGTACTGAGAGTTCTCGCTGTCCGGATATTCCCCTCTGGCGCACCAGCTTTGCCATCACCTCTCCATCTAGGGGCTGCCTTAGATCATTTGATCCTAAACACCTAGTTCAAAAACACCGCGGGGTTTCGTATATCTTCCTAGGATTTAATTAGCATTTGGGTGTTTCTAACAACAAATCTTTGGATGGAGTATATTTGTGCTAAAGAATCTACTTTGAAAACATGTGAAGAGGCTTCAAAAAATGTGTGGAAAAATTCCATGATCTTTTAACTCTGTTTACCCACACACCATTTGGGAAATAAAATGAATACTTTCTTTAAGACAGGGATTGCATTTCATTGATATTGCATATAGTATTTACACTTACATGAATTTCATGCTATATGAAAACTGAAGTTCTTATGCTTGTGTGTTTAACAGCAAAAGGTAAAAAGGCTTTTATTTCATTGGCAAATCCCTTGTGCTCAAAATACGAGAGAGATATGGCATTTACCATCAGGTGACCAAGAATGGCCTTGATATCACACGATATTCCTGACTACGCTTGCCTGTAATTAGCTGTATTTTAAACTTACTAGATGAGAACTCTACAATCCTTAGGACATGAACACCCACTCCTTGCTTCTTTTAAATGGGATTGACTTGGTTAAAATGGTAGCTGTCCTTCATGAGTTAACTATCCAGTCTATAATTAATTAGTTTTCAGAATTCTCTACAAGAAAAGTTAAACTGTTTCCCATTTTCTGATCAGAGGGTAATACTGAGTAATCACAGCAGCTAAATGAGCATGCTGCAATTTGGACAGCAGTGGTATCATTTTATCTACTTAATTTGCTGCCAAAATTGTCAAAATCCTCACATTATATAAAAAATTTATATCTATGTAAATTTAAAAACTAATTTATAGGTTATAATGTAAATAATTTTACAACAAATTACTCTTCCCTACAGTGACTTTAGATGGCTAATAAAAAACTGGATTAAAAAACTCAATTCCTAGAATATTAATATAAAAGAGAGTATTATGATACTAAAGATGTTAGATGTTTATTTTAAAATGTGTACAGCTTTATTTAGGGATGGATAAAAGAATCATAGGTTAGATCTAACAACTGTTTTACAGATTAGTCTTTCCATCAAGTGTATTTTGAGTTTTGTTTTTAAAACTGCCTGTTTAAGCACAAGTTTATAAAATCTCCTTCTACTTCAGAAGCATTCTACATGAGCCACCAAGCACAATTTCTAAATAGTAATTCAGTATCTATTAATTTTTGAGGTTCTTTAATAAATATGTTTCACTTTGTAAAGTCAGGAAGCGGCCTGTTTCCAAAACTAAACGTAACCTCAACTTTTTCCTAAGGAAATCTCTTTACCTCCAGAGAAAATAATAATTTCCTTGACAAAAAGTTGGCATTCTATTTACCTGTTAGAAGAAAATACCACATACTTCTCTTCCTATGAATGAAAAATAATCACAAAGAGGCAGCTTTAGGGTCAGAACAAAAACAAGTTATAAATTTTATCACAAAGTTATAATCATATACTGTTTTCTTTTTAAAACAAAGGTAGAAATAGTCATCTACCTAACAACATATCACTGAGCCAGTGACCAGTTCCTGGCAAAATATAAGACATGACAAAAAGCCTCTGATAGTACCAATGGAGAAGGCAGCAAAATGTATAGCATTGCTACACAATTGATACTTCTTTTCTCTAAAAGTTACATACTATGTAATAACCCATTGCCTTCAAGTAGCTCCTGACTCATAGCAACCTTCTGCATATACTACAGAATGGGTATTGCACGTACACGAAAACTCTCCTGATTCTCACAATTGGACAGACGAAGAAACTGAGGTACCATGATCAAGTAACACCTTGCAAATGAGAAAGGTATGGTGGAATGCAAGCTCATTCCAAAGCTTGGATTCATTTTTACTCATGAGTTTAATGATTGGTTTTCTGGCCAGTCAGAATGGGGGAGCCACCAACTGCCGCTGAGAGGATTCTAATAATAGTCAGAGTAAAACTAGAAGTTTTAATAGAAGTCAGAGTAAAACTGCTTCCCCAAAGAATATCCACATCATTCTCCTGTGGAGCTGCTGAAGGGTTTGAACCACTGCCATTTTAGGTTAGAAGCCAACTGGCTAATGCACTGTGGCACCAAGACCCTAGGAACCAGAGAGGTGGGTGGTTAAAGGCAGGCACTGGGGGAACATGAAAGAGAATTAAGAAAGAAACGAGAAAAATCCCCATCAAGGGTCCAAATCAGGAGTCAGTAAAGCCCATCCTCTGTGGCTCTTTGGTGCAGGACTCGATACCTAGTTTTGAAAGGGTTCACTAAGTAAGTAGTGAAACTATAACTAGTGGTCAATGAGAATCTGTGTCATTGAGAACCAAGACTCGCACAGACAGGAGAGAAGACACCTTGTGGTAGTTATATAATTTAAGGATTAAGCATGTAGGGGTAGAGTCTAGCCTGTCAATCAGATCCTGAGGCTTCTGTGTGGGCATAGCCTTCCCCTAAGGATCTGGGACATTTCAGTATTTCCTCCTTGGAGGTGGGAGACTCTTGGCTCATACCCTGGGAGACATAGTAGTTGACAAGACACATGGACCCACCCTGATGCAGCCCTGGGTGCTGGAGAAGGCATGCAGAGACCCCTGCCAGCACTGAGATATTTCCAATGCCACTGGATCCAAAGACTTTCTACCCACTGGCCTGTGATCTTCTACATTTGGTGTCATTGCATGTGCTTCATGAGTCTGAAGAGGACTTAATAGATTGGTATCGGACATATGGGCTAATATCGGACTTATGAACTTGATCTGGATTGGGTTGAGATGTTTTCTCAATGTTCAATTGCTCTTGTATATAAATCTCTTTCTTATACACATAAGTATGTCCATGGATTTGTTTCTCTAGTCTACCCAGACCAACACATGCGTTAATATGGATGAAAGGGAACACTAAATAGAGAAGAAGGAAATTGGCCAAAAATGTTGGAAGTAGGGGGAGACACTGCTATACTGATGATCTACAAGGAGCCCTGTTGGCATAGTGGGTTATGTGTTGGGGCTGCTAAACTCAAGGTCAGCAGTTCAAAAGCACTAGTCACTCTGCGAGAGAAAGATGAAGATTTCTATTCCCATAAAAGATTTACAGTCATGGAAACACACAGGGGGCAGTTCTATCCTGCCCTATAGGGTTGCTATGAGTAAAAGTGAGTGAGTGAGTGAGTAAGTGAGGGATGGAGTAAAATGGGTAGATATACAGACAGACACACAGGAGCATATTCATGAATATACATAGGCTTGACAAAGAATAGATGTATAGGTGTGTTTTCTCTTGCTACAAATATGTCCATGAATGGGATGGGGCAAACAGGGGGCAAAGTTATGGGAACTTCTTAGACTTAACAAAACACCTTGAAAGGATGAATTACTGGGCCTGGTGGAGCAGGACCATCATCTCAGAAGGCACCAAGGAAGTCTATAGTCTATAGGATGTAGTTAGTTCTCTACATCCTAGTTTGGGGAGTATTGACTTGGCTCTAAGGTGCAACTACTGGCCTCTCCCTGTCTGGAGGAAAGACAAGTGGTGAAAACGGAACACAGATGAAACCATCCGTCTTATGGACCACTAGACTACTTGAACATCAGTCTCCAGGACCCAGCGACTAGAAGACCCAAACTACTCTGAAAGGAATCACATGAGAAGGTCCTGGACAGACTGGGAGGAATATGTGGAACAAAACCCAAATCATAAAAGAGATCCAACTTATTGGTCAGAAAGATTAGTGGAACGTCTAAGATTATGGTTCTTAGTCACCCTTCAGGTCTGGAGCAGAATTCACCCCATGGCTCAATTTTCAGCCAAACAATAGACAGTCTATAAGGGAATTCTAACACCAGTGAGGTACCCATACCTGAGAATCATTAATCATTTGAAAGCAAAAGAGGAGCATTTACCCAAGGACAAATTTCAAAAAGAGGAATGGAGACAGGAAATACAGAGAGGAAGTGGGATTGGGGTGTCACCTAGCATGGTTTGGTTCATGTGACTTGTATAAATTCATCAATACTGACAGACTCAGAATTAGATTCTCACAACCTAACTATTGGAGGTTTCAGTAAAGAAAAATGACAGCTTTTAAGTTAAAACTAAAAATTAGCTGGGTGAACCCTAATGAGAAGAGATCAGGGACTTTTGCCGGTCATTCCCTAGAAGAACTCCATTGGGTATTTTAGCAGAGCTAATGTCGCTCGGGTTGTACATGAAATAGGTCTCCAATAAGTATTTAACCAGTCAATACATCTCGAAAGGACTATTAAGGTAAACGCTGGATGGTGTGGAGATGGTGATGACAGCGAGGAGACTAAGGCAAGCTAAACAAATCCTTCTAGTATTTGACTGTGCTATTTATTGTAACATATTAAAATTTGTTTTCTCCCCTAAGACCAGATCATTCGAGTAGGATTCCATGTCTGGGAGAAAGACAGGGGTTTCTACTCAGCAAAAGTCTCGGGAACTCCCGGGGCAGTTCTACCTTGCCCCACTGGGTCTGTGTGAGTGGGCGTTGACTGGCCAGCACCGCGTGAGTGCTTCCATGTCAAGTTTAGTTCGAGTTTTGAAATTTAGCCCATTAGTTATTAGTTCTCTTTGTTCTCAGATTATATTTTTTAACTACCCTACAATATTTTTTGCTTTATTTCTGGCCTTTTTTCTTTTACCTGAGGAATATTCTTGGTTACTACATCATTGATTAAGAATTATAAGACTTGGGGAATATGTGGTACTAGGAATTCAGTTCTAAAGTGACTGTATGAAGATTTAGAATTTAAGATTCACATGTTGGTAAGAGTGATTATTATTCAACTGCTTATTCTCCAGCTTTTCCAACTTGAAAAGGACTTTATCATCTACCTATACTTTTTTTCTCTGTAAAATCATTTTATTGTGGGCCCTTTCAGCTCTTAAAACAACCCATATATCCATTGTGTCAAGCATATTTGTACATATGTTGCCATCATCATTTGCAAACATTTTCTTTGTACTTGACCCCTTGGTATCAGCTCCTCATTTTTTCCCTCCCTCCCCCATGAACCCTTGATAATTGATAAATTATTATTATTTTAATATCTTATACTGATCGCTGTCTCCCTTCATCTACATTTCTGTTATTTGTGCAGAATTTGGTGGGCAGGAGTGGTTATATATTGATTGTTATGATTGGTTCCCCCTCTTTTCCCCCACCTTCCCCTTCCCCTTCCCCTCATGGTATTGCTACTCCCATTATTATTCCTGAGGCTTTATCTGTTCTGGGCTCCGTGTGTAGAAAGCTCTTATCTGTACCAGTGTATATGCTCCAGTCTAGCCGGATTTCAATGGAACATTTTCCTTTAGGATTTTTGTGAGCTCCTTCTCTGCTTGAAGGTGCTCTCTCCTGCAGCTTTGGGGAACATTTTATCACATGTGGAACACTGTAGCAGCAAATTTTTCCATATTTTAATCAGAAATATTTCCTCGGGACAGCGACACATTGGTTCTTGGTTTAAACCATTCATAGCCTCGGACAGTACATCTTTGTGCTACTGTTTTGAGGTAACATCTTCATTGGAATCAACCAAGCGCCACACCTGGCTCCTACATATTCTGAGGCTGTGAAGAGTCATGGTAATCAGTTATTCTTACACAAAGAAGATTTACTACCCTGACATAATCTGTTGATCCTCTATTTGAATAAACACTTTTTTTTTCTCAAATACTATCCACTATTAGTTAGAAGGAACTAAATTTCAGATTTGGCAGCCCTGGAGTGAATACAGGAGCATTATGTGGTTCATACTCACACACCTAAAACTGCCTGGACTGTGCACATCGGTTTTAATAGAGTTCACAGCATACTCTGGTCGGTAGGTTCCACACCACACCTAGGGATCACAATAGATACAGCAAAATTATGATCAAGATTAATTTACGTGTTACTTGGTCAGGTTAGGGGGGAGGGGAACAAACTTCCCATTGCAAAGATGAAATTGAAATCCTGCAGTCTTTTACTGTGTACTCTTCAAATAGGGCTCGAGGGTAGACAATCAGGAGCACAGTTACTTATCACAATATGGTGTGACAGCCTGCAACACGCCATGAAAGTTGGTCAAGTCAAAGGCCATGTCACAACTGATTAAACTGAGAACATTTAGCATGACAAATCTAACTGTGAAAATAGAACTCAAATGTTTTTTTCTTTTCTATCAATCAAGAAAGACACAGTACCTGGGCAAAGTTCAAGAAGAACAATTGTTTGTGGTTTAGATCAAGTCCAGGAAGTAATTTTTCTTCACCATTCTTTTTTATGTGATTTTGATAAGCCTAGGCAGTTAATGAAATAGAAACAAGATGTTTACAATTTATAAACTTTATAACTTATAAAATTTAGAAATAGAGTGCAAGACCATTGAAACAAATATTTAATCTTTTATAGCTCAAAAATTCAAACTCCCTGCCATGAAGTTGATTCTGACTTGCAGCGACCGGATGGGGCAGGACAGCACAGCTGCTGTGAGCTTCTGAGGCTGTAAGTCTTTACGGGAATAGACAGCTTCCTCTTTCTCCCATGTGGCAGCTGACCTTGTGGTGAGCAGCCCAGCATGTGACTACTATGCCACCAGGGCTCCCTTATACCAGAATCCCCATCATCAGACATTTAGATTTGACCACCTACTGCTATTTCACAGATCGGAAAGAATTACTAGAATTTATTTCCAAATGGTCTGAAAAGAACCAGATTAACAGAGGACACGATTCAGGTACCTGTCACAAGATAAATGAATGTCTACTGAATGAATAGATAACATTACGTAAAGACGGACAAACTTCTTTAAATATTGTTCTATAAATAGATGGGGAAGTCCTGTCAGTCAGAGAACTATATTACCAGTGGAATTTGCTTAATTACTACCCTTAGCAAAATAGACTCACTATTTTCAAGGGATGCTTGGGTCATCCCTTAGAGGTCTAGTATCTAAGGGTTCTAAAGATAAGACTAGGGGGTGACTCTGACCCCTCCCAGATAAGACAAAAGCCATGGAACCTCAGTTACATTGGGAGGTAGGAATTTAGCTTACGGGAGTATCAGAAAACATTCTTGATTCTAAGGATTTATGCACATTATTTGAAAATGTAGTTCTCCTCTAGTAAACATATTGAAGAAAGGAATTGACAGTAAACTTTCTGAGATATATCATTTACAATTTAACAAAAAAAGAAAGGGATCAATTAGATGATAATAAGATTTCTTTCACGTCTTCCTATTGCCCATTAATATAAATTTAATAAAACCTCTGTTGTCAACTCACTGCCAACGAGTTGATCCTGACTCCTGGCAACCTCACAGAACAAGGGTCGACCTGCCCCGTGGGGGTTTCCAAGACTGTAACTCTTCATGCCACTCTTCCTTCCTTGGAGCAGCTGGTGGTTTCAAACTGCTGACCTTGTGGTTAATTCTGACACCTACTGACTCTATGTACAACAGAATAAAACACTGCCTGGTCCTCAGCCGTCTTCATTATAATCTCTATGTTTGAGCCCAATGTTGCAGCCCCCATGTCAGCCAATCTCTGAGACCCTTCCCAGTAAGTGAAAATGGTCTGGACCTATGGAAGCCTTCCGTCTGCTCCCCGATAGGGAGATGGCAATTTAACAATGGGTCAAGTTATGACAACTTAAGATTTCCGTGTAGTTTCGAAGCATTCTGAAGTTTTAACACCACAGTAAACTGCTTGTGTTCATTCTAAACTCGCTTTCGTTGAGGATCACCAAGGAAGCACCAACCAGACCTTGCCTGGCTCTTTCCAGCAATGCTCCCCAAGCTGGCTGCAGCTATTAGAAATGCCATGGGAGTACTGTGAGTGCCAAGGCCTTCTGGTTCAGCCAGGGTATAGTGACAGAGATTAAATGTATCCTCCTGTCTGAAACAATCAAATGCCAGAGAAAATAGATGAGCAACAGCAGTTTGCATGACACTGTCCATCAGGGAGAAGGGAGAATGATGCCTGAGAGATGCAAACAAGCAATATGAATCTTCTAATTGCCCCACTTGTCTTAAGAGGGTTCCAGGCCATGATGTAGGGAGGAGAGTTCAACTGGGACCCTGTGGGCTCCTTGAATATGATGAAGGGACTACACCAGATAGGTTGGAATGGGATGGAAAGGGTTAGGATAGTACAGGGCAGCATAGGATAGGGGGGGGGAGAGCAGAGGGTGTGAGTGTAAAGAACAAGAGGAAAGGAAGGAAGAAGAGAAATCTGCGCAGAAAGAGAACAATCCCTGAGACCATAGATGGTCTTTCGTGTTCAGGGGAGTCCTAATCTAGATATCCTTGTGAAGAAACTAGGAAAGGCTGGGGGGAAATACCCCAAAAGGTTACACATAGCAACGTATGCTGACCACACGAGACTTGATATAGTGCCCACTCCCATCAGCAAGAATGGGAAAAAAAAATCTCAAAATTCACCCAAAGGTTTTGTCCCAGCAGCTGAGGAATAAGCTACGCCTTGTTCCCATCCTCCAAATAAAGTCTTAAAAACATGGCTCAAAAGAGCCAAACCATGTCTCAGTAGAGAGCTATATGTCCCGGAAGAGAGTTAATATGAATATTTATTTACCCATGAATATTTATTTACCCATTCGAAACCAAACTCACTGCCGTGGAGTTGATTTCGACTCAGACTCACCACCTAACGGGGCAAAATGCACAATGTCCGGTGTCAGCGTTTAGGATGACCAAGCACATGTGGAGAAGCAGAATTATACCACCGCTCAGTGATTAGCCAAGACTCATTCTTTCAGAAACTTTAAAACCAGTTTAATTTCCTCAGCTTCACACTCTGATCAGCCTGGGAGGCTGGCCCAAAATGCAGGTTTCCACACTGGTCTGATGTTTCCCCTTTATTGACTGCACCACCAGTCTTCTCCTTTCTCCTCACCCAAACCTTATCTTAGTAGCCTTCCCACCCTTTTTGGGACAGTCCCTACATTTTCTTGTGCACACGGCACCCATTAGACCATGCCACCATGACATTGTTTTTTTGAGACCCTATTCCTGGATCTACCGCACCTGGAAGAGTATCAAAACTACAAACAAGTAAAAGGGAACAAAATAAAGCACTGACTTTGACTCAGGGCAGCCCCAGTGTGTCAGGAGGCACTCTGGTCCGTAGGGTTTTCAGTGGCTAATTTCTTTTAACGAGTAGATCATCAGGCCTTTCTTGGTGGCGGCTCTGGTGGACAGAAACCACCAAGCCTTTGATTCGCTGCTTTCATCACCTAGGAACTCTGCCAGTCACACAGCACACCCTTTAACCAGACTTTGTTGAATGCAAGAATGAATGGAGCCACTCCCATGCAAGAATGAATGGAGCCACTCCCATTGACTATGAGACAGAGCACAGCCACTTTGGTCCTTTACTGGATCATGGCAACTGAACTACGGTTTAATCCTCGTGCTCCTGTGCGCGCTGATTATTTCTCCAAAGAATGCTGTGAAGTTGAGAATCCCGTTCACTACATTACTCAATAATCCCCCAAACCATCCTTCTTAAGGGGCAAATTTAAATTTTTCAGTGATTATTTCTTCGGAAACAGATGACTCTTATGAGAAATTTAAATATTTCCTCATCTCTGTTGACATAACTTTCTGGGTTTCTTCAAGGCTGAGAAACAGATTCTTGGCCCATTCAAAATAACTCTATTAGTATATTTTCAATGCCCTCTCTCTTCATTTTCTGATCATCATTTGTCGCTTATAGCATATGCACCTTTTGTGAAATGCCTTAAATGAATGAATATAATAAATAAACATTCCAGTCACTAAAATGGGAAGAAAATGTTACTACTCACTCTGTATGCTTGTCCAATGCCTCCATTATCAGCAATATTTTCTCCTAATGTATTGATTCCATTGAGCTATTTTAAAAAGGGAGAGGGACTCTTAAGCATTTTAGAATTAATTGTTAAGGGAAAGTATCATAAAGAGAAAAGCATCAATGATTCACTTAAAATTTAACACATGGCAAACTTTCTGAGAGAAAGAGGGTGACATACGTGCTGTCCACCTGCCAGGTCCCAGGTAAAGTTCCCATACTGGTGAACCATGCACTTGGATTGCTCTTTAAAATTATCTGCAGATTGTTGACTCCACCAGTCAACAAGGTCTCCATCTTTATTAAAATTTCTACCTGAAAAAAATTTAATTGAAATGGTAACGTATTATAGCAAAAGCTACGATGATCTTAATTCAGAGTTCAAAGACTCAAATAGCATTGTGTAAGTCAACATTACATAGGACAGATAATGGGGTGGGGGTGGGGGGACAAAACTGATGTCTTTCCTCATCCTCAAATTTGATGCTGTCTGTTCTGCCAGAGTGCTGACAGACCTGTTATTTCACACACTCGACTCTTCATTTTCCATCGTGATGAGTATATATAGACCAACATTTGCCAACTCAAATGTCAACTCAAGTTGTGACATGTTCAATGCAGTGCTGTTGATTACACTCATCATGTTGTGCAACCATCACTCATATTCATTCCCAGACCCACTTGGCCCTGGCTGTCTCAGGGAGGCCACCAAACAAAATGCTCCCGGAAGTGTGCCCTGCTTCTGCTGCGTGGTTTTGCCCTGAGCCGCATCTGTTGACTTTGGTATTTGAAGGCTTTTAAGACGGTGACCAGGCTATTTTGGCATCCACTTGGTATTCCCATATCCTTCATGTGACATCAATGGCTCACAGATTCCTTCTACTTCAAAGTCTCCTTCTTCCCCGTCTCCTCCTGCTAATCCTAAACTTTATCCTTTGTGATCCCCAATAGTACTTACAGACACTTACATATGTTATGCATTTGGCACTTAGTTTTATCATTTTTGTATTTTTCAAAGAATCATTTTATATTTATTATATAGCACACTGTCATGAAGTCAATTACAACTCATATTGACCCCATAGGACAGCTTAGGGCAGCTACCGATCATGTGGTTGGCAACTTAATGTTTAACCCACTGCTCTTATACCAGGCAGTTTGTTGTTTTTTTTTATCTCTGGTACAGTGCATTATTTATAAAGGTTATCAGGTCACATGGCCTGCATTTATATTGTGGGGCTCCACTAACCTAGCTCTGTCACTTTGAACAAGTTCATTCAATGACTCTTTTTTTCTATTTGAAAAATGGGAACAGTAATAACACATGCATTTCAGATTATTATATAGTTGAATAGCACTAATACTATGTGTAGTGAGTCACTAGCACTCAGTAGACATTCCGTAAACATTGACTGTGATTTTTAATCGCTCACGTACAGGCATTATTTTCCTCTCAAGTGGGTAATCTCACTCATGACACAACACAGACCAGTGTTTCCCCTAGAATACCTAGCATCCTGCTTGGCACCAAACAAATATTGAAGTAATTTTATCTTCTTTCTATTTTCTTTTTACACGGGAACATATCTTTCCCATACCCCAACGGTCAGTATTTTAGATATGTCTCATGTCTTCACATCCATCTAAACTTCCACTGAAATTCTAAATTTGTTTTTCTATTTGGGACAACAGATAAACATTCAAATGCCTACTAGAGGCAGGGCCCTGAACTAAATTCTAGGGATGAGAACAATAAGAAAAGCAAATAAAACACAACAGAAAAACACAACCGAGCAAATCACTTGTTGACAAACAACTGAAAGAGTCTATAGGCACTTCAATTACACAGAAAATATTTTTTGAATTTACATCTAATTTTAAGACAGAAACTTTGTGCTCCAAGAGCTTGGAGAGATGAGACATATGCACACAAGAAATAAGTCTAGGCACTGCCAATATGGTGATAAACATCACAGTACTTTCTCAAGGTATTTGTTTTATTCTATCACACACCAAAGCTCCTATGACTTACCGTATACATGTGTATGTACTTGAGTCTAAGCAGAGTTTTTCAGCACATTTTTGATGCAGTTTTTGTGGTAACATTAGGTGCCTCGGCTGATATTCATGTTGGCTTATACTCGAGTATATATGGTACTACACTATTAAAATATATATACTTATGCATACACACACATATACCTATACAATATATACATGTGTGTGTTTTCATAAGCAACAACTTGAAAGGACTTTGAATCAGTGTGGTGGTATTACAGGAGACATAACACTGATGAGAGAATTTCTGGACTGATAAATCATAATAACTCTTCATCCTGTTAATTAGGCTCCATGTCAACCAAAGGGAAAGGTAAACCGTCCTTTACCACTGTCGTCGAAGCCATGGGTGATTTCATGTCCGATGACCATGCCGATGCCTCCAAAATTCAGCGAGTTCGGCTGCTGAGCACTGAAGAAGGGGGGCTGCAGGATGCCAGCTGGGAAGACTACAGAGAAAGAAGAGGGGCAAGGTGACTTGGGGCATCATCCCATGACGGCAGGCCTGTGGGTCGCTCCTTGCTTGCTAAACTCTTGTTCAGCTGGTCAGCTTCTCTTAGCAGAATATAAAAGTCTTCTGTGATAGAGATGAATGTGGGCCTTTCAACATTACTGGCACAAAGAGCTCATCCAAAAAGAGCACCATATCTTATGACTTATAACCCCAATTCCCATTATACACTCTTTTCAGATTGTTTTCTACTATAAGGAGTTAGGAAAGGGAATAATTAAAATCATCATTCAGAAGGGTCTTGTCCCATACAAATTTGGATGTGGGGAGAAATAGTTACTCAATAACACATGGATTAGCCTTTAATATTGTTGCGACCATTTTGTCCATCTAAATAGTTTCTTAAACAGAGTCAGCCAATCTAAGTTATCACTTGATCACATACCCTATTTTTATTTTCATCAATCTATCTACACTTAGAGTCTGTATACTTCTTTGTTTGCAGTTCATGACCCTTCCTTTTTCTGTCTTCCCCAAGTCACTCCAGTGCCTTCAATGTTAGCTCACTAAGAGCAAAAGTGTGTGTGTGCGTGTCCATTTATATTTTTGTTTGGGTTCATTTTTCCTCCAAGTTCATGACCCCTAGTCTCTGAAATTAAAACAATATCTGGAAATAATAGATATTGGGAAAATATACAAATGAATAAGTGATGAATGAATGAATGCTCAATTTGCAATGCTATCTCAAATATTTCTGTCATTAAAAAGCTTGTGAACTTCATATTCTACTTTGAGACATAAAATAACTTGACAACATTCTCCACTTAGATGCCTCACAGACTCACTGGATTAAAAATATCACGTTTCCTTCTAAGCCATCACCTTCTTGACTGAAGTATGGGTCCTGGTGCAATGGCAAGTATCCCCGTCATCCAAAGTGGGACCTGGGTGTTTCTTGGAATCCTCCTATCTTTGTGCACAATCTTTCGTCATCTGCTTACACAAATGCCAAGTACAACGCCTTCCTTCCCGTCAGAGCTCATGCTTGCTTGTTGCTCCCCTTTCATCCTCATTGCCGCTATTTTAACCCACAGTCTCATTCCTTGTCTCAAGAATTATTTACACTAATCTCCAAATTGCTTTTTCCACGTCGTATCTCATCCAACTCTAATCTATCCTAAACCTAGTTACCCTCTTATAATCTATCTCCCAGCTAGATGAACCTTCCTGGTCAGGATTTCCCCCTTCTGAAAACAAAGCAAACGCCCTTCAATAGCTTCTCATTGCTCAGTAAAAGCAAACGCTTCAGCCTGGCCTGTGATTGATGACCATGCTAACTTCTCCTCTCTTCCCAAGGCCTTTCTCTTCTACCCAGCCCCGTCATTCTCTGCGAATGGAGACTCCCGCCAAGCGACACTTACAACTTGCCTCTCTGTAGTCACATATACATGTGAGTGTGTTTTAGAGAGGAAATATACATTTCCGAAAGAAACATCACTGGATCTGGTTTCTGTTCTCTGGGAATATACTTCCCAATTTATTTTTACAAGATCATTGCTTTTGGACCAGGATGTGTACAGGTAGTTAATCACGGACTCTAAAAAGAAATTAAAATTCATGTTCATTCTTTAGTAATCTTTATCTTTTATGTTTTAGAACTCTAGTAGCCACCAACTGAAACATTACGTTCTGTCATCCAAAAATAAAACAAAGTTTTGTATCTAGATTTATTACATGCACAGCACTGAGTGTTTCTATCGGGATACAAAGAACATTTAAGAGAGAAGGTCCCTGATCTTATGAAACTTAATATCTGACTGGTGTTTCTCTGCCCTTCAGGTAGGGAGACTATGACAAGAGCTGCATGGGTTTGAGATCCATATTAGATGTTTGCAGGAGAGTTAAAAAATACTCTCTCTAGCTCTTCAAAATGAGCAATTCTGGAAATGTGGCCTAGCTTTCAAGTGACCCCAAGAAGAGTACTTTTGCCCTTAGAGAATTTTCATAAAAGTTACAGTTCACAAGTACCTCTCTGAGCTATCAACGGTGCCCAGAAATTATTTTTAGCTTAAAGTATAAAAATTAAGTGCAGCACTTTATTAACTTAAAGTGAACACTATCTCCCACACTATGTTCTTTGATTAAAATCCACCCATTATATAAAATGCTCTTATGAAACGTGCTATCAAGATGAAACATTAACTGTAAAGATCCTGCTGCTTTAATTATACCCTGATGTGCCATTCTTCAGGCAAGTGATACAACTTTTACAGCTCACATGAAACACTAGTCTTCCAGTTCAGCATCACAGACGATGATTTTCCCCTTTTACTCTGTCAGCTGAACCTCTGAGAGAAGTATCCTACTCAGCAGTCTGTTACTGGTAGGCTTCACAACCACTGTCTCCAACTACCCACTAGTTGTACAGGTTTATGTTCATGGCTATCAATGACTTAGTTAAGCAGGTCACTGGTCATTGAAACAGAAGATTGCGTCCTTCTGTGCTTTACTTATTTATATACAGCCACATCTTTAGAAACTATGCTTGAGCCTGTAATCAGGTAAAATCAAGTTTTATGGTGGAAATGGTAAAAAGTAAATTGAACATTCATATATAAATATGTATAGGTATATATATTAATATACATGCATATCTATTAATTGAGTCAGAAATATGTTCAGGGAGGTTCCTTCTAATTTGCAGCTCTGAAAATAATACTCTAAGAAATAAGTAAGACACTTGAGAAAGTTTAATTATCTTAAGGCGTTCACAGACCACCCATATACTAAATACTAAATAACCCATAGATTTCTTGAAATTGAAGCAGGTTGATTGTAGAAAAATCCCTTGTGTATTTTTAATGAAATAGGAGAATGTAGCAAGGATGAGACCTCACATCTGAACTGATTATTCCCTTGAATAATACTTTAAGGTTTAATGAGGTGCCTGAGTAGTCTCTGAAACTTATATGTGTTGGAGCATTCCCATGCAGCTTTCTTTTTTAAAATTAATTAATTTATTTCCTTTGGATTAGGTTTCTTGGGTTTTTAAAATCATTTTATTAGGGGCTCATACAACTCTTATCACAATCCATACATA